TGGGGAGTTCGCGAGAGCTCGCTATTGGTCCTGTTGCTGTTGTATCACTACTGCTTTCTGCAATGGTTACCGAGATTGTAGATCCTGCAGTTGATCCTATTGCTTATACAAGCCTTGTTTTTACTGTCACTTTCTTTGCTGGTACTTTCCAGGCAGCATTTGGTCTATTAAGGTAAAGTTTCTATTAGAAAATGTTGAAAAGAACTCTTTTTGGAATATGCATGTTAATCTTGATTAGATGTAGATAGGAGGTTGTGGAGGACACGCAGATTATGATAGAAGGTTAGTAGGTAGTAGAGTGTTGTCCTGCTTATCCTTTATATACTAGTAATCGTATTTCTCCAGTAGTTTCTTGTCCTTCTATATTTTTTAATATCTACTGTCTCTTGTACTTCGATTATTGCACTATTTTGTTGTAGTTACTGTTCCTTTTTTATGCTTTCTATAGTCTAACGGAAACAACCTCTCTACCCTCAAGGTAGGGATAAGGTCTGCATACACTTTACCCTCCGCAGACCCCACTTGTGAGATTACACTGGGTATGTTGTTGTTGTTGTATGTTAATGTTGATGTATGTGCAGGTTGGGATTTCTTGTGGATTTTCTTTCACATGCTGCCATAGTGGGATTCATGGGAGGTGCAGCCATTATAATTGGTCTTCAACAACTAAAAAGTCTCATAGGAATTAGTCACTTTACTAATAAAACTGATGTGGTATCTGTGCTAAGAGCTGTTTTCAGATCATTTCATGATGAGGCAGTAAGTTTCTGAACTTATTTTCGAATGATTTTTCGCGTTTTCATCTTACTGATTTCCGTTGGACTTGTTTCAGTTGTCTCCTATGAATTTTATACTTGGCTGTTCATTCCTCATCTTCATCCTCGCAACAAGATTTATAGTAAGTAATAAGATGTACTCGTTTTTTATCGATCAAATTTGGCGATTTTTTTCCTGTTTCATACACTAATCTATTGGCCACCTGAAATATACTGCAGGGTAAAAGGAATAAGAAACTATTCTGGCTACCAGCTATTGCTCCTTTGTTATCGGTGATCGTAGCCACCTTGATGGTTTATTTAACGAAGGCTGATCAACACGGAGTTAAAATTGTAAAACACTTCAAAGGGGGTTTGAATCCAAGTTCAGCTCATCAATTACAGTTCAATGGTCCACACCTTGGACAAGTCGCGAAAATTGGACTAATTTGTGGTCTTGTGGCTCTAACTGTATGTCTCTACTCTTTGTTCTCCCTTTTTGATTTCCTAAAGATCACTAAATTAGGAGGATTCATTCATAATGTTGAAATGATCTTGGTTTTCCTCAGGAAGCAATTGCTGTCGGACGATCATTTGCTACGATGAAAGGTTATCATCTTGATGGCAACAAAGAAATGGTAGCCATGGGATTCATGAACATTGTTGGATCTTTAACTTCTTGCTATACAGCAACTGGTGAATTCTCAATTCCTTATACTTTCACATATTATGTTCAAAATCTTGAATATCCTTATGATAAGTCATACGAGTTCTGATATACTCCCTACGTTTTAATTTGTTTGTCTTACTTTTCCTTTTAGCCCGTTCAAAAAGAATGACTCTTTTCATTTTTGGCAACTCTTTAATTCTAACTTTTCACACGACATGTTTAAGATTGAAACGGAAGGAGTAATGAGTTCTGCTTCAAAATTGTTACAGGTTCATTTTCAAGGACAGCAGTGAATTTCAGTGCAGGATGTGAAACTGTGGTATCAAACATAGTTATGGCTATCACAGTATTCATATCCCTGGAATTGTTAACCAAGCTTTTATACTACACTCCACTAGCTATCCTTGCATCGGTTATTTTATCCGCGCTTCCTGGATTGATCGACATAAATGAAGCATATCATATCTGGAAAGTAGACAAGATGGACTTCATTGTTTGCATTGGTGCCTTCTTTGGAGTACTATTTGTCTCTGTCGAAATTGGCCTTCTAATCGCGGTAATTTTGAAGTCTCTGTCTCCTCTGTATTCACAAGAATTTACTCAATATAAGAAAACAACTTGCATTAAACAAATGTTATACTTGTCCCCTCAAACAAACATCTTGTGACTCACACATGTAAATAATTTAGTAAAATCCAGAGGAAATGCCAAAAAGATGGATAGCCCTCTGAGTCATTTGTGGGCACCATGCTATAATAGAATTTTGGCTCTTGTCCTTGAGAAAATACAAGATTCATGTCAACTCTCTGGTCATCTTGTCTTTTTCTTTGCAACTTGAAACTAAACAAAGACTAAAAAAATCATCCGTAGAAAATCAAATCACAAATGCTTGATTGATAGTATTATATTTGATGAGTCAGTTTCTCAATAAGTCACTCGACTTTGTCTTGTAATACAAAAGTCACTCAACTAATGGTACTCAGAAAATCATTCAACTTTGTTTTGTAACAGAAAAGTCACTCAACTATTGTCATTTCAACTGTAAAGTCGTCACTTAAGTATTGTCATTCCACCTACAAAGTCACTCAACTAATTTAGTAATGTCTGTTTGGTCTATTGCAGGTTGGCATTTCATTTGCTAGAATAATACTAGACACGATTCGAGCAAGTACAGAAGTACAAGGCAGACTTCCTGGGACGCTGGATACGTTTTGTGACATTACACAATATCCAAGAGCCACTAGTACTTCAGGAATCTTGATCATCAGAATCAACTCTGGTTCACTTTGTTTTGCAAATGCTACTTCCATAAGAGAGAGGTATATATAATTCGCGCTCTTATCAAAGAGGAAATTAAGACAATAAACTTCAAGCCTACTTACTTTTCAACTTCTTTTGTTTCTAGGGTTATGAAATTGGCGACACACACAAATGGTAATGAGGAAAATGTTCATTTTGTTGTTCTAGACATGTCAAGTAAGTTTCATAACTAGTAGAATTTCCCAATCCCCCCCCCCCCCCCCCCCCCCCATTCCCACATTGGTTGGGGAGTGGATTGGTTCCTTATATGGACTTGGCAATCCTCCCTTCATGAGCTAGCTTTTGAGGTTGAGTTAGGCTCAGGTGTCATATCTTTACCGTTGTAACAACTTACTACTAAGATGATTTTGATCTCATTGGTTAATTTGCAGATGTAATGAGTGTGGATACATCAGGAATAGTGATGTTAGAAGAGTTGCACAGGGAATTGGTTTCACAAAGCATACAAGTAAGTCTCTCATATTCTTTTCTCTAAATTTAAACCGTTGAAGCGATGTCACACAACACTGTCTCGTTTGATGTTCTAACGTATAAATATAAAATAAATGACATAATCGAGTGAAGCTGATATGTTTGAGGGGTCCTTTTAAAATATATGATAGTTCTCCAAGATATACATACATATATATAACAAGTTAACTCTGAAGTTAACTAGTGCACGTGCACCCCCAGCCCATCACGCATGGGTCTGCCTCTGGTGGTCCACAGGGCCTTCCTCGGATCTTGCATCAATTCATGATGTTTTATACACCTGACTATCCTTTTATACATTAATAGTGTCTATACTAACATACTATCGTAAGTTGTAGCAGATTATCTGGTCTTATTTTTCGGATTACTAATTTTACTTATTACTAGCATTTACCAATTTATACTAACCCTTGTATGATGTTTTTTTTTTTTTTGCAGTTAACAATAGCTAACCCAAGATTAAGAGTGATTAACAAAATGAAGACTGCAAAATGTTTTGACAAACTAGGAAAAGGATGGATTTTCCTTACTATTGGGGATGCCGTAGATGCCTGCTTGAGTCTCAAAATAGCTGATCTTAGCTCTACCAATTGTTGAAATTTTATATATGTTGTTATTTAATGCTTCTTATTCTTGTGTATACAAAGCATTAACAACAAAGAATGGAAAAGAGCCACCGCCAATTATATATTTCATCATATTTATAAAGTTGATAAAACAAAATCTTGAAAAATTATTGTCACGACATAATATATAGATAGGCATTTTACCTCAATTCTTCTTTACTGTGTCAATTGAGCACTCCAACGTAACTTACGAAATGATTATCTAAACACCTATAAAATTTATGTCCACATGATCAACATCGGGTGTCCATGATATACAGTTGAGACAAGTTGGAGTGTTTAGTTGACAGTTGAGACCAAGTTGAGATGTTTAGATGTGCACTCTCAAAATTGGAGTGATTACTTGTCAGCTAAGATCAAGTTATAATAGTTGTTTACGTATTATGCCTATATATAAACATATATAACTAAACTTAAGAGTATATATAATTGAACCTATCCTACCAAGATTTAACAACTTACTTGTTCAGGTCAATCAATAATACCTTAAAATAATACACTAAAATAGAGCTTAGGGGTTATAGAAACTCGTAAAGTTGACTTTGGACTAGGGGTTGTGTATTAATCGGTTCGGTTCAATTTTTAAGTTTATTGGTTTGTAAGTATTCTAAATCGTTATATAGTTTCATTAAAATATTGGCTTATCGATGATTAGTTTATCGATTATTGATCATTCTCGTTTCAGTTATTTATTTAACCGATAAGATTTGACACAATTTTTTTTGATTGAAAATCACTTAAACATAAGATGATAAACCCAATGAATCATGTACATAAGTTGACAGGTTACATCTTGCTCAAAAGCAAACACTGACACATTTTAAAATAACTGAGAGTTTGAGACAACTAGAAGTAAAAATATGAAATTCAACCCTAAATCAAAGACTTTATATACCAAAAAATATAAATATAATTTATTAATTTACCATCGATAATCGAATAATCCATTTTTTAAAAAAACTTCAATACATTAAGAACTAGTAATAGTAACTTTTAAAAAAAATTTCGAATCATCGGTTTCAATTCGATTTTGAATGCGCTGGTTTATATAAAGTTAAGAGTGTGTTTAGGCAATTTATCGGGTTTGCCAATAAACGACATCGTTTGAAGCTTTAAAGAGGCAATTTAAATAGCCCGACCTGACAATAGAAGAAATAATTGTTCTTCAATTGGAGAAAGAGAAAATATTGGGGAAAAAATGGGAGAAGAAGCAAAAGATGATCAACCAGAATCAATTCAAAACCCTAATTCAAATCGCATTACACAAACCCAATTTCTCTCCTGGAAACGCCAAAAGGTATCTTCTTCTTCTCTTCATGTTAACGGTATAGGGTATTACAAGATGGTGAATCGAAAAGTTTATGTAGCCAATCAACTGAGTTATTAAGATTTCCCGTGCAATATGTATTACCAGGAGATTATATTATATGTTGCTTACTTTCCTTTCAATAAGATGAGTAATTAATCTTTGTGGTAGTTTAATACGGTTGAATTATGAGAAGCTAAAACAGGGAAGCAATTCTATTATATTTAAGACGAAGAACGAGGTCATATCCGTTTAAAAATCTAGGTTCTAGCTTCCTATAGTTAATAATTTGGTTGTTAAACTTGGATTAGCTTTGATTTTAGGTACATTATTTAATGTTTTATGTTAAATAGGTCGATAGAGGTAATTGATATAGATTATTCAAGTAGTTAGTTGTAACTAGTTTGGGATTGAAGCTTAGTTTGATCGATTGACTGTATCGAGTTCCCTATTATGGTTGTCTGTGGAATGTATATCCACCTGGTGAATGACTTCCTTCAAAATCAGCAATTTGTGCTATTACGTGTATTCCTCGTACTAGACCTATTGATATGTTGTCCTTGAGTTCCTCTGGACCTTTTTTTCCCTTGGGAATCGGAGCTGTAAAATGACAGTTATGCACTTTTTGAAAATGCGTCTGTGATTGAAAAGTCATGTCAGTCAAGTGTACAGACCATTTTATAATTTTGATTTAGATGAAGAGATGCAGTTTTATGCTATGTTGCTCGGGCTTTCCAAAATATGTTGCTGCATTCGTGTTAGTCCTCCAAGAATGCACTGCCGTTGGAGGACCCGACAAGCACCCGTTGGTATTTTTGAAGAGTCCGAGCAACATAGTTTTTACGTATCTGGAGCTAGTTCTTGTTTTGAAATTGTAATTTCTTATTGTTAATCACTAAATATATGTTGATAACCTTTTTAGCTATTTAATGTATCAGTTTACCAAGTATGTTAATTGTTTGTACTGGCAACTAAAGACCAAATTTCATGGATGATGAGATGCACACCTTAGCACTCTGTCACATACAATAAAATAAAGCGCAACCTAAGTGAAGAAAGCAGAAAACCTGGCTTTAAGTGATTTTACGGCTTAAGTGTACCTGATACGAGCTTTTAACAACACTACTTCCATTCTATGCCTATTCTCTTCTTCATTTAGATTGTGTGATTCATCTCTTTTCTCCAGAGTTTCCAATTTAATTAGAATTTTCATTTCTCTATTTGTTTCTAATAGATAGACTCCATTCCTTCTATGGTTCTCAAGTTTCATTTTTCATGTCAATCTGAAATCAGTTCTTCCTTTGATGCTGTAAGAGTTCCACCAATTGCTTTTCATTTTCACAATTTTTTTTAGCCGTATAAGCTATCTCCAAATGTCTCCTTTTCCTCATTTTCGCTAGTTCGTTTGATCCCAGCAGAATCGGTTTGTGTTGAGATGTAAGGTTCACCACTATTACTGCTTGATCTTCTTAAACTATTTATTCACTTTTGTAGTGAACTACTTATCTATCTGGAGACTGCTGGTCTGACTTGACCTTAGCCATAAGCCATTTGCTTATATATAAGAATTTTGTTGAGTTCTTTTTTGTTTTTAGTTATTTAACTTATCTGCGCAAGGTTTATTTTGATGTTTTTTTTTGTTTTAAAAAGATTGTTTCACTTCAATGAAGTGAACTTTTCGCTTAGCTTCACACTTCATGCTTTTATGCAAAGTACGGCATATCGCTTTTTTGCCAAAAACGCTAGGCTCCATCAATGGTGTCACACTTATTAGCCTGTAATACCAACAAATGTTCTAGTTTTCTTCTTAAAACTTGGTCAAAGACTCAAGTATGTATTGATATAAATTAATGGGAATTACTAGAAATCTTCTGGGTCCAGTTGCTGATGCATGTAATAATATATTTTAATCTATTTTCATTTGCTGGAAAAATTAAAAGGATTTTAAAACACATTCACCTTCTTTTTCTGTTAAGAAAATTACTTTCACCTTGTTAAACTCTTCAATCATTTAACTATGCTGTAAATCACCAAATAAAGGAAGTTCATTGGAGTAGTGAAAGATTGGAAAGGGAATTTCAGTTTTGTGCTCAGGTTGGAATGAGGAAATCAACTCTCACAGTCTCACTAATGTTCTGTTGCACAGACTCTTCACTTTTAATGTCGTACCCGTGTTGGATTCTCCAAAATTACACCACTTTTGGAGAAACCGACACGTATCCATTGACATGTTTGAAGAGTCCGAGCAACATAGATGTTCTCACAAATTCCTATTCTTGTTTTATGGTCTTCATTTTGTTGCATTCCTCATTCAAGGAATTTCATTACCAATTCCTTCAAAATATTTTAGGCCATTTCTAAAAGTTTATTTCTAGAAGTACTTGCATAATTTATAACACTTTGGTAAGGTTAGGCATTCATTTTAGTCAACAAAACTGAATATCCTTTGTGATAGCAATATCACCTTCACTATGATTTAAGTCGGATAAATTGTTTTCACCCTAAGTAAGGAGGAATTTCATTGAATGAATAGCTGTAACAAAGTTTGCTTTTGTTCATCGACTTCCTTTATTGTGGATGTCCTTTTTTAAATCTATTTTGGTTGTTGTTCCTATAGTTGTAGATTCTTGGAGTTCTGTAGATTTCAGAACTTTGTTGCAAGTGGTTTATCTGTTTTACTCAAGAGAAACCTGTTGTAGTATTTTCATTATAGTCCTCATAAGTCGTGAGTCGTGACAGATTTGGTTTCATTTTCAGGACGCGGATGCATTAGCTAGAAAGGCTGAAGTCGCAAGAAAGCGTGCAGAGGATGTAGCTGCAGGGGCCGTGCAAATGAATGGTCGTGAACTTTTCTTGCACGAGCCCTGGGTCTTCGATAACTCCCTTTACTAATGTTATTTTTCCGATAAAAATATCTTCCAAAGTAATTCTATTAACGTAGTTAATATTAAGACAACTAAATTTGAATATTGTTGATTTGTATGTGAGGACATCACAAGTTGCTTGCTTGAATCGAATCTTAAAATCTTTATGTTGTTTTTTCCGTTTAGTATTCGTGTCAGTTAATTATGTGGGGGTGGGGGCAAGGGAGGCTCAACCCGAAAGCCACTAAAGCAGCTGCTTTAGGCAAGTACTGAGCAGACAAAAGATGGAAGGAAATACATACATAAAACCAGATCTGATGAAGGCCATCGTAAGAAGCACTGTATTAACACTTGGAAGAAACAAAATACCTAAGTAGAATATAAAAAAAAATTATGCATTTATTGTTACTATTAATTAAATTTTTCTTAATAGTTTGTTGTTGATCTCTTACCCACAATATCTTGTTAATTATTATGCACATATACTTGAAATTTTAATATTGATGTAATTATAATTAAAAATAATAGATAATTAAATTTACAGTTAATTTTTATTTCTTAATTTAACTAATTCACTTCAATTTGAATCAACCATGTTTTAATATTGGTTATGTTAGATTGTCTTCAATTCTTTGAGATGTTTTATTAAACATTTCGAGCTCAAACTAATTTAATTAACAAATAATTAAATTTTAAAAAAATATTGTCTTTAACTTAGGATGTCTTCTAAAAGTAATAATCACTACAATATAGATTTTTGTAATTAAAAGTATTACTAAATATTATATAAGTAAAAGAATGATTTAGAATAATTTTGATAGTTTATGTAACAATTGATTCTATTGAAAAAGTTTTCAAAATTATGATCAATAAACGAAATTTAAACTTTTGCGTAGTTATTTTCGCAGTTACAGCCAACTTTTAAAAATTACGTGATTTTTTCAGTTTTTTGTGTGTAATGCCCATAGATCTGTGGCTTTGGAAAAATTCTAAAAAAACTTTATGAGCACCTCCGCAATGAGTTGGGGGAAGCATTACGTATAGTCCCGCCATTTCTTTAAGGCCTATTTTCGCATTTACGAGCCAATTTTAAAGAATTACGCGACTTTCTTGATTTTTCGTGTGTATTAGCCCATGGATCTGGCGCCTAGGAGCACCCATTTTTTTATAAAAAAAAAACTTTATGAGGATCTATGTAATGAGTTGGGGAAGCATTACGTATAGTCCCACCATTTCTTTAAGGTCTATATTCACATTTACGAGCCAACTTTTTGGAATTACGTGACTTTCTTGGTTTTTCGTGTGTAATCCTCATAGATCTGTGACTTTGGAACACCCAAAAAAAAATTCTGAAAAAACTTTATGAGGACCTCCGTAATGAGTTGGGAAAGTAATTATATAGTCCCACCTTTTCTTTAAGGCCTATTTTCGCATTTACGATCCAACCTTAAGGAATTACGCGACTTTTCTTATTTTTTCGTGTGTATTAGTCCATGGATCTGGCGCCTAGGAGCACCCAATTTTTTTTTCTGAAAATTTTTTATGAGGACATTCGTAATGAGTTAGGGAAGCATTATGCATAGTCCTACCATTTTAAGGCCTATTTTCACATTTACGAGCCAACTTTTAGAAATTACGCAAATTTCTTGATTTTTCGTGTGTATTAGCCCATGGATCTGTAGCCTTGGAGCACCCAAAAACTTTTTCTTAAAAAACTTTATGAGGACCTCTGTAATGAGTTGGCTAAGCATTACGTATAATCCCACCATATTTAAGACCTATTTTTGCATTTACGAGCCAACTTTAAGCAATTACGCGACTTTCTCAATTTTTCATGCGTATTAGCCCATGGATCTGGCGCCTTGGAGCACATAAATTTGTTTCCTGAAAAAACTTTATGAGGACTTTCGTAGTGAATTGGGGAAGCATTATGTATAGTCCCACCATTTTTAAGGCATATTTTTCGCATTTACGATCCAACTTTTAGGAATTACACGACTTTCTTAGTTTTTCATGTGTATCAATTAGTCACGGATCTGGCACCTTGGAGCACCTAAAAACTTTTTTTTGAAAAAACTTTATGAGGACATCCGTAATGAGTTAGGGAAGCATTACATATAGTCCTACCATTTTCTAAGACCTATTTTCTCATTTACAAACCAACTTTTAAGAATTATGCGACTTTCTTGATTTTTCGTGTGTATTTAGCCCATGGATCTGGAGCCTTGGAGCACCCAAAACGTTTTTCTGAAAAACCTTTATGAGGACCTTCGTAATGTGTTAGGGATACATCATGTATAATTTCATCATATTTTAATGCCTATTTTCGTATTTACGAGTCGACTTTTTGAAATTATGTGACTTTTTAAGTTTTTCGTGTGTATTAGTCCATGGATCTGGCGCCTTGAAACACCAAAAAAAAAATCCGAAAAAAACTTTATGAGGATCTTCGTAATGATTTGGGGATGCAATTCATATGACAACCATGTTTTAGGGTGTTAATAGACTGAATAAGTTTTTTTCTGCTTTTATCTTGTTCTTATTTTATCTTTTCGCTTTTTCTTTCGTTTCGTTGGTTTAGTGTTGATTTGTCTTGGTGGGAATAGACAAGTGTCATCATGTCCGTTTTTAAATCGTGACAGATTTGTTGGGCTAAGTTGGATTATTAGTTGGTTCACCCACATGAGGGTTAGTGTGGGTGCGACTCATTATGGTCTGGATCGTGACATAATGAAGGTAAAATTAGTTAAATACTGTCACGCCCCGAGGCTACCCCCCTTGAACGTAAACACTAGACCTAGGATCATGAGTGACCACAAGCTAACCCTGAGCAGACATATCATAAGCATACTAAAAGATTACTGAATAAAATATACTATGCGGAAGCTTAAAACCATAATCAACTGAAAGTGGGGAATACCCAATACTAATCCGATTATATAAAAAAAAATGCATTTAATAACAACTAGAAGATCAAACTCAAAACTATAGTTGAATCTAATGATATGTCTGAAAAGAGCCTCTAACTGACTAAAGTTGTTGGGACATGCCCCAGCTAACTCTAGCAAAACTGAAAACTGAATAAAAAGACTAAAGTGTAAAGCATGTCTATTGTCCTCGAAGTATGATGACTCACCACTGAAGCTGCTGAACTGGAGATCGAAAATCGATCTATGCGTGATTTGGATGCTGAGTACCTGAACCTACATCATGAAATGATGTAACGCAGAGTATGTGTCAGTACTTGGAATGTACTGAGCATGCAAGATATAAAGTATAACCGAACAAAATACATAACTGAACAAAGTATACTGAGCAATAATATAATCTGAACTGAATGTAAATGTTGAAATATACTGAAGACTAAACTAAATGCAATGACCAAGTACTAATTCTGAACATGACATACTGATACTGAATGCTGCAGTATAACTAAAAAGTTGGTCGAATGCACTAGGGTCTGATTTTGGGAGCTATTATTAACCGACATAAAATCATGTGAGATAAACGTGAAGTCCAATGTATATGCTCCATCGAGAGGATCCAATACACCTTGTCAGGGGTGTAAATGCATGTTTGTTTGATGTATATGCCCTATCGATAGGACCCAATATACCTTGTTAGGGGTATAAAGGCATGAATGACATGATCACTAAAGCTGATGCCCAACAGAAGGGACTGATAAACCTACGGGGGCACGTAGTTTTAGGACTATGAGGGTACGTTGAACCCTAGTCCAACTCGGTCTAAGCCTACTCCCAACTAGAATGTGTATAAATAACATATCTGAAATACTGGATAACTCAATGTTGTGATATGCAAATCTGAGAATGCAACATTTATAACTGACAATGAAACATTCGTAACTAGAGAATGTATATTTGTTTAACTGACCTAACAAATGCAATTCATAAACTAAAATAATCTACACAACTAGGGTTTTGAATTTCATGCAAAGAACTAAGCAACGATTTCATGAAAACATGATAACCTGATTAGGAATACTATAACAACTAATTCACAACAATTCTGCAAGGTTGTAGAAAACTCAAGTCTAAACATGATATATAAAATCAAGAATCTGACTGAATTCTAGAGACTTCGTGGATGAAAGGAACACATTAGTGAAATTCCACATACCTGTGACGAAATTCACGGAGAAACCTTTTGATTTCGGGGCTGGAACTGAAGAAAACTTGTTGTGTTCTTGGAAGGGTTTGGGTCGCCTCTTTTCTCCTCTTTTGTTCTAAGTTTGATGAATCTTTAGAGAATAAGGGTTGTGGGTAAGTCTGACTATGTTATTAGGCTTATTCTGAGTAAAACAACGTAGTTTAAGTGCCCAACGCATAGGGAAAAGGACCAAAATGACCCTAACTTAATTCTGACGAAGCCCATCCACGGAGGAAACGACGGTTCGTCGTTTGACCTACCGGCCGTCGTTTGGGTTCGTCGGTCAAGTCTACTCGACATGGCTTCACTAAAACGAGCATAATTTTTTACTCGGAGATGAGATTTTAGCAAACTCGGTGGCGTTGAAAAAAAGATGCAATTATCTATCATTTGGTGGGTCATGTGCCACCTAATTCCTTTTGTGCTAAGAGTGATGACAATTTGAAGTTGACCAAACAACGATTTCCCTTTAACTGGCTGCTGACCCTCACCTACGGTCCGTAGGTCCAACCACAGACTGTATTGGTCGATCGTGGGTGGGATCAGAGACTATAAAGATTTGGGCCTTAACGACAGAACTCCACCTATGGTCCGTGGTCCCACCTATGGTGCATGGTGGTTCCGTTGATACTGACACCCGTTTTTTGAAAACTATGATTTTTCTTCATTTTGAGATCCGAGGTGTTACAGATAGTATAACACAGGATAAAGTTGAACAATTTACTATAGTAGTGGGGTATACTAGTATCATTTCAATTTTTAAATAAATAATTATGTGTTGCAATAGATGTGTTGGAGACTAATACAAAATAATTTGTGTATTTTGTAACGGTCTTAGATTCGGAATCTTGCGAATTTAATTCTATCAATTTCATTTATACTTCGGTTCATTAATATGATAAAATCTATATTAAATTTATAAATACA